AAACAAGTAAGATTTTTTGACAGCCCTTCAATGGATAAAACGAGTGATATTAAACAGCATTATCATTTATCAATACTTGATTGCTTTAATTTAAAACAACAATCAATAAATATGTATTGTTTTCCTGTTATTGGTCCTTTTTATACAGCAGATATCCCGGTTTTGTTCTGCAGCACTTTGTTTAACATATCTACAATTAAAAAGCATTGCCACAGGTGAAGTTCTTGATCCAGATCAAAGTACATCTTTATTCACAGGGGAAGTTGTAAAGAAAATTTACATTGATGGAATTATAGCATTGGAATCAAATAGGATACTCCATTTAAGTACTGTAGTACATGACTGCAAAACATTATGAATAAATGCTATCAACAATTGAACTCTCCTTGGCACGCCTTATTTGTGAGGGAAAACTGAAGCTTTCGTTATAGCATGCAACCCATATCAACCAGAAATTTGGTACCTCAGTTGAGTCAATACTTTGGATATTCTTATGGTGAAGTAACTTTTTTATTTAAAAACGGCTGTGGTAAATTTTTGCACCCTGTTAAGTTTTTATTACAGTTCATTAATCTTGATTTTTAACATAATTATTTCAATAATGTGGAAAAGTTTGCACCCTCATTTTATTACAGTTCATTAATATTAATTTTTATAACACTGTTTTTATTACAGTTCATTTATATTATTTTTTTTAACATAATTATTTCAATAACATGGAAAAGTTAAATGTTTTTTTATTTGAAATCCTATATTTATAAATTTCAATCAGTACTAATTACACAGCCAATTAATTTTACAATTTGTTGACTCCTTCATTTCATTTTTCTTTTTTAATTGTAGCCACCATTTGTTATGATGATGCCTGTCATTTGAAGCGCTTTGTACAAAATCCACTAGGCTCGATGAAGACAAAAATAGCACAGAAATTAAATCACCTGGAGATAGTTTGCGACAAATTTCATTTTAAAAACCACACAGATACCTGGTGTAGGAAGAATTGCAACCCAATTAAATCCCACAATCTTCAGGTAGAGATTTTATCTTTTACTGACTTTTATAACATAACTTATTTGTTCATGTATTCACTGTTAAAAATTCCAATATAGAAGTTGCCATAATGAGGGTATAGTGCAGTGGTAAAGCACTGTCAAATGACTTTCGCTAGTAGGCAACTGAAAATCATTGGAGTACTTAAGTCAATAATGAAAAGATATCAATCTGGTAAATCCTAAACTTCCAATTGCAAATTATGTCCTAAATGGCAAATGGATCACTGCATCTAAGTTCTCCAAGTCTAAATCATAATGTCATTGCATAAAATATGATTATCCACACCTCCCCCAGAGAAACTACTTTACTAAGAGTTTGGAATTCCTAATTTCAGATAAACTTTATCCAATATCAATTTATTTTACCTTTCATCAAAATACTCTATCTCTAGGAATATGCACATATCTTTAGTGCGTAAAGAGAAGGCACTGAAATATGAATTATTTTCAATTACCCCAAAAAGTTTAGCAATTTCTTACATTTTTTCTTTGGTCTTTGAAAAAAATATATATCCCTAGGAATCCCTAAATCACATTCCTCATGGCAACTCTATACGTTTGCTTAAGTTGACAATAGTGTTTTTCATTGGTGCAAAGAGCAAATAGAGTCCCATTGTTTCAAAGAATGATTTTGTGATCAGTGTTACGGCACATACTATTAACTTAATTGCCCAAGAAAGACCAATAATAGCAATATGAAACAACAAGATCAAAATGGTTACTGTATTCAGTAACAAGTTTATAATTTGCTATTGAAGAAACAATTCAAATAATTTGTTCTANCAAAAAGTTTAGAAATTCCTTACATTTTTTCTTTGGTCTTTGAAAAAAATATATATCCCTAGGAATTCCTAAATCACATTCCAGATGGCAACTCTATACGTTTGCTTAAGTTGACAATAGTGTTTTTCATTAGTGCAAAGACCAAATAGAGTCCCATTGTTTCAAATAATGATTTTGTGATCAGTGTTACGGCACATACTATTAAATTAATTGCCCAAGAAAGACCAATAATAGCAATATGAAACAACAAGATCAAAATGGTTACTGTATTCAGTAACAAGTTTATAATTTGCTATTGAAGAAACAATTCAAATAATTTGTTCTATCTGGTAGAACAAATATAATTTGATTGCCTTTTTTTTACAGAATGTTAACACAGAGGTCTGCGAACAGCTGTTTTCATGGCTGTCTCAATTCTCACGGATAACAAAACATATGAATAGATGGCGATTCCTGTTTTTAATGCTTTACATTCTTGACAGTCACAATGAGGATGTCGTGAAGTAAAAAATTTAATAATGATTTACATGTATGAATTAAAAGTTTCAAATTATGGTAACATTATTGTAATCCATTTTAGTTCAAATACAATGAAGGTATATTTGCCTATTGGTAATTTGTCTTTTGAAATGTCACTTTACAACTAATTACGTGTGTTTGTAATCTTCAAAGGACTGTGAACTATTCATAAATACCTTGCAGTGAGGTCTATTCCTTCCAAGGAAAACTGCCAGAAAAAATGGCCGCGTGAAATCTACGCCACGCCCCATGAATTTCGCTTGGCTATTTTTTCTTGCCGTTTTTTTTTTTTTTTTT